GCCTTTTTTTTATTTTGCACTGGAGCTCAATCATGGGTTATCTGCTTTTATCTGCTTAGCTAAGCCAGTCTCCCAATACATGTACTTGTTTTCATGAGCAGAAGGACGAGCTGCTACTAAGAGGAGGTTGTCCTTAAAGACCCGACATGCTAAATCTTTCAAGCCAAAGTAAATCACTACATGCTATTTTTATCAGGGCTTAAACTTCCAAAATTTAATTACATGAATTTAGAGATTTCCAGGTGTGAACAGGGCTAACTGGAAACTTAGGTACTGAGCTATGTGAAAAATCTCAGCCTTGCATGTAAAGTCTCATGCAACACACTTAGAGCATTGCTACAAGAGTCAGTGACTGTTACATGTGCCTACACACTGGTGACATCTCGGGTTGCAGAAGTGTTTCCTGCTTCCATTGCATTGAGCTCATCACATAGCAGGGCAGATGACAGAAACAAGGGTGTGGATCCGAGACCTGTGATTATTAGCTGAGAGTGCAGGTGCAAAGCAACACATTTCTGGGGCTCGAAACCAAGGAGAAAAGAAGGCAGGGACTGAGGATGAGGAGGTCATTCATATCTGTGGTGCAGCTGAAGCTACAGGTGTACTAATTGGTAGAGAATCTGCCTGAAAACCAAGTCTCAATTTTTTTTTGCCTGTTGTCACTATAGCTTTGAAACCCAGAGGGCTTATGGGGATTGCCCCTTCCAGGAACACATGCACAATGGGACAGGTCCAAAAGCCTTACCACAGCCTTACCTTTCACCTGCCACAGGTGAAACACGCTGGGCACAATAAGGTTCCCTTTCAGTTGCTTTTAGCCAAACCCACACCAAAACGTGAAGATACTTCAGAAAAAGGTTGTTATGTTGGTAGATCATTATGGCTGCACAACTGAGGCTGCAAACAGTTGGAAAGGCTATAACCTGATCAGCCTTAACCCTCTCTCCTTACTCGTCCCTTATTAATAATCTTTATTGCATGACTCTGATTGGGGGAATTAGTTTATTTTTGTTCCTGCAGGACTCATTAACATTTATACTGAGTTTGCAGCCAAAATGCCCCATTTACACTGGCTTCTGCAAAAACATATGAAGTGCTGTCTATATTTGTGAGAGGACAGAGCAAAGAAATTACAGGTGGCCTTTACGACACATAAGAAAATTACTGAGAACAGTTGCATGGCATATTCCTTTCATGACTCTCCTGTTAGACAATCAATGTTTTCTTTAAGATCTTAATTAGGGAATAAATGACATTGTAGGGCAGAAAGGCGTGCAAGAAAACTGAGGGAGCCAAAAGCATGGAAGGGACTGAGACTGGATGCTGGAATATTCAATCAATAGCAGAGTAGAACAGTTAGAAGGAGCTTCAGATGGCACAGGACAGAGAGTAAATATAAACATCTTCTGAGTTGTACAAGCTCCAAATGGAGACCATCACATTTTTGGTCCATCACATAAGTGGAACAGAAGTTACTGGGTTTGACCTCACCCCAGGCTTTTTTTTGCTTTCAGAAAGGAGCTTGAAAGCCCTGAAAAAGGCTGCAAGTTTCTTACAAGCCATTGCCATTCTCAGTGCAGAACAGCAAAATAATGAATTTGTGAATAACTTTATAATGTCTTGGAGGCTAAGGCATCCAAGGAAATGATCTAGCAAAGAAATAAAATTGTTGTACATGTTCTATAGGAAAAAAGTTTCCACTGGACAAATACATTTGTCGTTTTAAAACTCCAATGTCCCCTATAATTGGCACCCAGTCAACAGCAATACAACAGCAAAGAAACCATCTCTAGGAAAAAATTTTCTCCTGGTCAATACAGTTATATAAATAAGTATGTTAGTTATTGAACTGTGCTTTGGATAAAGGCAAGTTCAGGCTATGGGTTCTGGAAGAACACAAAGCATTTGACTGTGTTAGAAGCACTAACAAAGTGTAAGACACAGTACATGACCCACCTCCCGAAGCTTAGGTCTTACTGTGGCCCAACTTCCAAAGAATGCCAGGATTCAGCAAGGCTGTGGGGACGTGGTTAAGCCTGATCTCCCTTAGTACATGACAGTCAGTGCTATCAGCTAGAATTGAGTGAGTCAGACTTAAAATAATCACAGAAGCTATTCGAGCAATTAGTCCCACCCCAAAGCAGTTTATCACTTCCCAAAAGCAACAACTTCTCTTCCAGTAGGATGCTTCACTGCTTCTTTATCACTCAGCTGCCTGCTTTCTGTCCTTGGTACGCCACATAGTGCTAGAAGCAAAGAGCTTCCCTACTCCCCCACATTTGATCATCCCTAATTACCTTTCCCAACCCATTAAACAAAATCCTTTCTTTAGAAACCTGGGGGGTTTTGTGGTATCAGAATTGCTTCTCTACTTCTGTCATGCATGCGCAGACACACAAAATGTTCTTACATCATTAAGATGCAAAACACATTGTTCCTGAGCCAGTGTTTTCAAAAGCAGTGTTTCCAAAGCCAGCATTTCTTGAAGCCAGTGCTTCCTGTGGGCTCCCTGGGAAAAAAAGGGCTTATGTAGCTGACTTCTGCAAAGCCTGATGTTCCAGTCAGTCAGTTGTGTGCAACTATTGCTACATAATCCTGGCTTAGAAGCCTTCACTGTGCCATTCTCTCACTGCAGCCTCTGCACCAGGTGCCTCTCTCAAACCATGTTTCCCTCCTCCCCTCCTTGTAAAGCAACACAGCTGTAACTAACCCTAAGAGTTTCAGAACTGCCACAAGTCTCAAGTTCTAGAACCAGCATCATCCAGTCACATCCCCTGAATATCCTAGCCCTGTATTTCTCCTATATAAAGTGTTCAATGGTCAATTAATTTACTGAATAGCAGTAAAGGACATATGTGTGTGTGTGTGTGTTGAAGTGTTACGGGAAATCAGGGCAAGGTGGATAAAGAGCAAAAGAGGCAGAAGGGAGGAGAATGACTGGAATTATGAGAAACCTGAGTCTGGGTCTTGTGCAGGCTTCCTTGTGCACCCCGCTGCCATATTCCCTGCTCCTCAGATCCCAGCTGTAAAGTGGGAGCACATCTCAGCGGGGAGTTGCAAATACAAATGCACCAGAAGACTCTGTGGAGTTGCACACCTCCAGCAGCAAGGCATGTAAACAGAGCAGGGAGGAAGGAACAGTATCTGTTCCTGTAAAATAGCATATAAGCACTGAGCAGGGTGAGGCAGCTGGGGCGGGGAAACAGACCAGACAGGAATGGGGAGATTCCTACCAGGAATGAGATTCCTGGTTCATGCAGCACTCTTGTCTGTTATTGTTTCCTACTTTCCCAATCTGTGTTTGAAGCGAGAAAGGGGAAATGGTACGTAACTTGAAACACAGTGCTAGACCCAGACTTACCAAATATGCCTTTGACAAGCCTCCTGAAGTTCCTAAGGCTTCACTTCCTCACCACTTCCTCAGCCAGGGATGGTATTCACTAGTGGCTCAGTGCTACTTTCACACATCCCACAGGAGGGTAAAACACCTTCTCTTTCAACCATACAGTGCTTGTAAGACTTCACTAATCTAGCAGGGGTATCTACTAATTCCTTCTTTTCTTTGCCACTGCTTTCAGGCCAATATTCATTTCCTTCTCTGTAATACTATTCTTTACTTCTCTAGCTGTTTACTTTACTTTGCTTTCCTATTAAGGAGGAAATCCTAATTAATCCCCTCCTGGGAGTCTACTGCTTTCAAAATCACTCATTTGCAGCAAGTTAACAATAACTGAATAGCAAAGCTTAGTCCTTGAAATTTGTCACTCAAATGGAAAGTAAAGATTTAGAACATCACTGAAGCAAATAGCTAATGTATAAAGCAACGGGAAGGTAGATGTGATATGTAAAAATATGCTGGATTAGGTTTCTGGAAGCAAATCCAAGAAAGGCCTTTTTCAATCATTGCACAAACTTTTTTGCTTTCCTCATCCAGCACAAGCCAATGATTGGGAAACACTCATACCAAGGGAGACACCTAAAGCCAGACAATCATTAAGCATGACACTGGGCGTGCCTTCATTACAGTGCTGAGGCGTGTGAGAGCCCCATTTAGAGAAAGATAGAAGATAGCAGTTTATTTGTAAAACAGCGGAGCCTTCACCACAGTGCTTGTCTAGAGCTTCCAACTGGCATGGTCAGGTGAGCACTCAGGCTCCAAAAGCAGCCTCCTCCATCCCCCTCTCACCATCACACCATGCTGCAAAGCCAGCCCTTTTCTAGTCACTACAAGGCTTGCTACTAATGATCACATCAAGATCCAGAATTGGGACACTGCAAGACAGACTGTGAGTTCCCAGTCAGAGCAGGTATTGCAGAAAGACAACCTCTAAGATTTGGGCTCAACAAAGTTGGTTTTGTGGTTCATTCTTTAGGATGCTACATGCCAACCGTTCCACAAAATGTTCACATAAGTGAGAAGTGCTGCTTCAGAGGGAACAGCTTGAGAAAACAGCAAGCAAACTGCCTTGGATTTTAAGCAGTACAGGGCTGGAGAGCAGGCATCAGGTAAGTGCAAGCATGAGCTAAACCAACCTTGCAGTAATGTAAACATCAAGAAAAGGCAGCTTTCCCTGCCTACATTTTGTTATTCTTGTTATACATGTTCAGCAACAAATCACACTTTAATCCACACACACTTTAAGTTGACAAAACAGCTTTCCACTAGTGATTAATACATTGCAAAGTCAACTCCACCACCAGTTCAGCTTTAGAAGGAAGCTACTACATTTCAGCATGCAGGTGTTTGTTGTGTTTGATAGGAACTAGAGGCTTAGTCCATGGAACCAACAGTATTTGCATGAGCGTTTGCAATTCTCTGCAGTTTAGAAGGATAGACAAAAGCAGTGTTAGGTCCCATGATTACAAACTTACACAAACTTAATCCATACATCCTGTTCAATGGAGACTAAGACCGCTGTAAATCTAGCTTAATAAACAATGTTGCAACTACCTATTTGTTTTCAGTGTTGAGGCAATTAGCATAAACAGTCAAACCTTACCTTCATTCCTTTAGTAATTCCATTTTTCTTATAGATTCCACTTTTTAAGAGGTTATTCTGTTTCTGATGATGATGATGTAGGTGCCCATTGCAGACAGCACTGGGATTAGCCATCTGTTTAAATTAGTCAGATTCTCAGTTCTTAAGGGTGTCTCAGGTCTTTCTACTGTAAAAAAGACAGTGGGATGAGAAGATAAAGTTCTTGGTTAAGGCCTGAAAGGTATCCAACTGGTCCGTCAGGATTTTCCAGGATGAGAGGAGGAACTGCCTTTTGCAATATCTTCGAAACGTAAAACTTTCTTTCATACACCTTCAGCCCCAGTGAGCTAGAATGCCAAATACATAGCAGAGGTGTGCTCTTAAAATCTCTGAAAAATACTGCTCATTGCTGGCTATTGCACGAACACGGCTCCTGTGAGTCAACAAGGCTGCTGCAGCTATCAAGAAGTGGGTGGATTCAGAGGCGGAGACACTTAAAGATACATCACCTCCTAAATACCTCCCAGTGGAGGAACATCATGTTTCCCTTCTCCGAATTACACTCAAAGTAGTTCCTTTATTCCATTTAAACTAACAAAATGTTTTCAGATTTAAACAGAGTAATCTTTAAAATTACATGCTTCGTCTTGCTGAGATGAAAAAAGCAGTATTGCACTAAGTAGAACAGAAAGACTTTTTTTCCCTTTTTTGAAACACATCTTGTAGAGGTGACGTGGTAGATTATTATCTTAATAATGACACTATTAACTCTGCAAGGAAATGGAAAACACTTTGATATTAAGATGAAAATTTATCTAGAGCTAGAAACATTATGTTTGGCTCCATCCTACAGACATGTGCACAGGTATTCATTCACCTGAGTGAACTGTCCCTTTAAACTCAGTTTGGCCAGTAGTTGGATAAATGGCATGCTATTATAATTAATGAGAAATGGAGTTTTATAAAATTGATTAATTTAGATTTAAAACAAGTCAGGCTTTAATCAAATGTGAAACTACTAAGGAGGACTAACATATCTCTTTTAAGACAAAAGTTTATTTATTGTGGAAATACATATATTGTCTTTGCTGAACCAAATTCTCATGTTTAAGATTTTAGTGATGAAGCATAAAGGTAGAGGCATCTCTGATAGCATTTAATAGAATCCCTTCCTTTCAAAATTAAAATTAATGTGGAGACAAGGAAAGCTGTATAATAATATCAATTTTGAAAAACAATTAGGATGAAAGGCTGGGAAAATAGAAATACTGAAGTACTTTAATGAGAAAAAATTACTGTGCCATCTTGGCAATGAAATGTAAGCGATTTGTAGAAAAAACAGCCTACAACTTGAGTATGTGGAAAATGCAGGAGATTAAATGTTAAATGAAGCACTGTTAAAGTACACAGGGAAACACTGTGTTGGTTTTGCAAACTTGTCTTAGACACGTATTAAATTGTTAAAATATGTTTTCTTCTTCAAAGTGATTTGCAAAGTGAGAGTTTTCAATGTGCTGGAAAGCTTTTGCTTCCTGCTTAAGAGAGATCTAAACTGATCTGTCTTTAAAAGAAATATCTGTATATGCTTCCTTCTCAATTTCACCTCATTTCATACCATCCAGAGATTTCCACTAAAGAACTGCAGAAACCCTCCAGGATACATTATAGAGTAGCACAATTTAAAAAGCAGTCCATCTTTAACTAGACTTGATTGTTTTATCATTGGAAAGAACTTATGTATTTCAGTTAATAAGACTGGAAGTAGTAGTTTGGGTCAAGAAAATATTCCCTTAACTGACTAAAATGATACAGAAACAGAAGAACACCAAAAACGTTTTGCTTCACAATTACACCAGATTCAGCATCAGAATTCAGATTTCCTTGGTTTTGTCTTTTTGGTGCTTTTCCTAGGCAAGAATGCCTCATTTCTGTGTGAATCAGTCTTGTTTAGGCTTCATTAAGGCATCTGTAAGGATAACTCTATTTCAAATGAATCGTGAATATGTAGTGACAAAATAAATTGTTGGTCATAAAGGGCTAAGAGCTCATATTTGCAAGGAAAAGATGAGACTGAGATGAAGATAAACCAGAAGTAGGCAGGAAGAATGGTTAGTAATACTTCCCTGTATACCTGTAACCTGTGGCATGCTGACAAATGGAACAAGGTAACATAAGGCATTCGCTCTGCACCTGGCAACCCCTTCCCCCCAAGCTTTCTCATTTGGCAGTTATGTCCTTGATTGCCACAGCAAATCAAATATCTGTAAAACATGCCCTCTGCTCAGTCAGTTACTTCACCCTGTTGTGAAAAAGGTAGGACAGGAACACTTACCAGAGCAGCATTGGTCCCGTGGCCCAGCTGGAACTTCTGCCAGGTGTGCTTCCCAACAGGCTCCGCACCTTCCAGGGCACAAAGCGATATAATTAACATCTCATATGCCTCTTATATTTTTTTCCAATTAGGTTCATGAGGGAGGTGGAATCTCCAATTAGATAACACTTCAGATAATGCAAATTCTGTTGCCAGTCCCAGGCTCTAGATCTGCCCTTGTTATCTATTTCTGGGCCCATGAAATACCAGTGACCTTACATGAATAAAATAGTGAATTAAATACGTTATATTAATTCTAGTTTTCAATGTCTAGAACATTTCAGATCACAAACAAATAGCACTTAAAAAAAAAGAAACCGCATTTAAATATGAATTTAAATGAGCAATTAAAAAAAGCTCAGAGAAGAGCTGTCCTTTGAGTATCTGTTAACCATGGTCTAAAAGCCAGTGCTCACAAAACAAATACCACTAGAGGCTGAGTAAAATTCTTGTCCTGATTCCATTCAGAGCAAAAGACTTATAGAAGGGACAAGTCTGGCCAAATACACAGAAAGGATCTGTAAACAGAATGTGGTATTTCTCCTGGAAAAAAAAAATTGGATTTTGCCTTTCAGAACTCCATCTTACTCAAAGCCATGTATTACTCAGATTTCTATATACATATCTGTCATGCTACTGGTTACCTGCACCTAAATCTGTCCCTCAAACATACGAGAGTCTATGCTGCCTGGACCCTGGAGGAAGGACTCAATAATTGTGTGCTTTGCAACACCAAAACCATCACTAGCAATACCCTGTTTATTTTTACCATTCTGGGAAGTGGATGGGAAAAAAATTGCTATGCTGACTGTACAAGAACTGTGTGTATTTAACTGCAGAGGACACCAATCCTACTAAGATTATATGTGCCCTTCTCTCTAGTGGCTTGGGCACTGGTTCCCCTTCATACATTGGCAAGAAGATGGTGAATTTTTAAGGTTACTAGCAGACCACACACCATGTTCTACAAAGATGCTAGTAAAGTTTGCAAGACGTGACTACAATCACTATAAATCCGTAGGAAAACCACCAATGAATTCCCAGGTTCTAGGTTTTACTCCTTGCTTTGTCATTATCCTGTTAATGCCATCGGATTTTCACCAACTCACCTCTTGAAAACAGGATAAAAGGGTTTAAATCCTTTGTTAATGCTCTGAGACAAATTGCTGAGCAGCATGGTGCAAAAGTGAAGAAAAATATATGCAGTTAATTAACCGAGGTTTAACAACAGGGCAGAGAGAAAGGGAGGTGTAGGGCTCTGTCTAAGCAGCCTCCCAGTGTTCAAAGAAAATCACTTTTCTGCTATTGCACTCCCATTGTTACAAAAAAGAACAGGATAAAAGGCTGAACTCTGCTGATGCACTCAGGAAGTGGGGACAAAAACATCTAACCTGCCATTAGACTTTTGGCCCAGTCAGACATGTAGGGTAATCGGAGTGGCCACAATGTCCCCATTTTGAATAGCAATACTGAGTCCACAATGTCCCCATTTATAATGGCAGTACTGGATTACCTACCAATAAAAAAAGTAAATGTTGCAAGAAAGCAAGAGAGCTCATCCCCAGAAAGCTGTCATGTCATAAGCCAGAAGGATTTTGCAGGATTCCTACTCATCTCAGAGTACAGTTAGTTATGGCACAGTTGTGAAATGGTCTTGCAATCTCATTGCAAGATCATGATAATTTCAGTTCATGACAGATGCACATTTAAATGCCACATGAAACAATAAGGATTTATACAAAGACATCAGGTAGCTTTATGCTTGTTTTCAGCAGACAGACAGCAAAGTCAAACAGAAGCTGAAAAAACTGGGAGCCCGAGTCTTTTCCTTTGTTAAAAGTCAAGATTCTAATGATGTTTAAATAGGCAGCAGAGCATGCTCCAGTAGTGGAGTACACAGTAAAAAATCCTTCTGGCTCTCCCAATCACTTCTCTCACAACAGAAATCCACTTTATAAATTCTGTGTACCACTGAAGACTTATTTTCATATTTAATATATGTGGACACATGGATGTCAGAGGCAACTCCTGCCTCGGATATGTAAACGACTTCGACATAACAACACCAGTGAGCCTGAAATAAATGAACTAACAGGGAGACACCACAACAACAAAGCAACATAAGCAACAGCAAGTACCAGCCATCAGCTGGTCAGTCATCCCCATGGATGTCTTTTGAGACTCATCCACATTTCACCAGCACTGGCTAGAGGCTAAATTTCCTAAATGTTCACATGGAATACCCGCTAATCCATGTTTGCTTGTTTAAACCCTCTCTAGCCAATACGTATGCGGGAATAAGTAGGGATATGCCACTACACCTGTGAAACTGCACCTCAATGCTGAAAGATCCCCTCAAGTGCCCTTGCACAACTTGAAGGATGTACAAAATGCTTGGATATTGGTCAGGGAATAATCTGGAGCGCCTCAGAACCGTGGCACAGGTGGATGCACGCAACCAGCATTGCAACAGGGAGGGCATGGTACAACAGGCAGGGCTCCTCTGTGTCTGGCAGGTCCATCACCTGCAGAGCCCTGGGGCTGGCCTGGTTGGCTCCTGCCACCTCTGCACCTTCATATTCTTTCACGATGGGCAGTAGGATGACAGGACAATGGAAAGCCATAAGCGTATAAAGATACCGTCACCCTGGTTTCTTAAGCAATACTACCAGAACCAGTTCTCTCAGAGTATCCAGATGTCAGTAAGATGTGAGTACTCATAACATTAGGGATTTGTTGGGGTTTTTTATCTGATATATATATGATTGATATATGATACACATATCTGATTAGGAATCTGTACTTAATCCTGGAACGTTTGTAGCACCTGGCACTTTGACTTCCTTGAAAGGATTAAGACTTTACAAATTGCAAAACTGATACAGTTCTGTCCTCATTTTATGATAAAAAAATAAAATATATCTGACTAGAATGTCATGATTAGAGAAAACCAACAGCAATACAAAAATGGCACCAAGACCAAAAGAATGACAGTAAGTCTGCTGCAAAAATCCAACATTAAGCACAAGTAAAAGCCTTTGCTCTAGCTTCTTCCAATTACAAGTATCATGCCATTACTACATTCTTATCTGGAAATTTATGATTGAGTTGAATCTGCAATTCTTACTCCTTAAATAAAAAACTCACTCGGGTAGTAGACCCAGTGAAGTCAGTAGAACTACTCAGCCAAGCCAAAGGCTAAAAAAAACTTTACAAGCGTCAGGTAGAGGCAATAATCTCTTTCTTGGGACATTTTAGTCCTCACCTCTTTCAGCAGTGATGTGATCTCCATAGCTGTCCAAGGCAGATTTCACTCTACTTTTCTGAGACCTCCTGCCAGTCAGGCTAATTTGCTTGCTGAGCTCCATAATTTGCAAGAAGCCAGTGTGGTATTGTCACTGTTTCCAGTTGTTGACATGATGAATGGAGCAGAGACAACTCTGTGCCATCTGTTCCTTCTCTGTGTCGTCACCACATCGATTCAGACAAGTGGTTCTTAGCTACAGACATCTGGAACATTAAGATAACCGATACTTAACCAGGTAGAAAAATCACCTTAGTGTTACTAATAAAACTGAACAAAACAGACGTGGCTTTAACCTGTGTTTAATGATGAAATTTCAGGCTCTGAACAGGAAATTACAAAGTGATTCCCGACAAAACTTAGAACTTATTGCTTATTGTTCTTGGAATGTAATTGTTCAGTGCTTCCAGGAGCAGGAGATTTACACAGGCCCAGATGAGAGTTAATAATGCTACTCAGTTAGGGGGGAAAAAAAAAAGCATTGCAAAATACTCCATTTTTTAATTTAACAAGTGGCTCCGTTTTGCAATTCTTACTCATTCAGTGACCCAATGAGGTCAATACTCATCCAAGTAGTAGTTATGCTTCAAAACCTTTTTATTAGCATTACTAAATGTAGTGAAATGATACAGGGGATTATTTGCCTTCCCCATTGCCAGTGAACAAATAATTTCAAGGCATTACGCAGAATTAGATTATTGTGTTAAATGTGACTCCATACATGGGCTCTCTGTAGTCTCATTTCCTGTTGTCATTGCCTATAGTTTTGTTATTGATCATTTCAGTTCTGTCCATCCTAGGGAAACACAGGTCAAGAGGAAAAAAAAAAACCCAAACCAAAATCCCCAAACCTGTACTTATTGCCATTTATTATGGTAAAGAACTGGTAGCTGGGTTGCCTTATAAAAACTAAAAAATTTTTCATTCAGTTGCCTCGTGCTATTTTACTATGGTTGACATTAGTTATTTTTAGCCTACCCTGTCAAACCGATGGAAGAAACCAAAATATCGTTCACTCTACCTACTTACTACAAATATTCAAAAGCTTTTCCAGATCCATTTTTTTTGCTATTTTCACTTGTGCAGAATTTATTTTGACTATTGTGAGTTTTGCCCCTTCTTGGCAGACTTAGCTGCAGTTCTTTCTCAGTTCCATGCCTCGCCCAAGTCAATGGGGCTCTGAAGAGGCACCAAGGGTCAGACAGGAGGCTGAAAGGGTGAGTGAGTATTTAAAAATTCATCACAGAAATTGTTGCCAAATACAGGAAGGGCAACATTACAAAATTATTCCAAGAATTTTTGAAATCTACAGAGTTCTGAGACAGATGGTTTTAAACTTGGTTTAAGACTTATATTTAATCACGCTATACAATTTTCAAAACAAAATAAAATGTTATTCCTTACTTGGAGTAATTTGTATTTAAGAATTAGTGTACAAGTCTGAAACAACCTAGATTTGTTACAGAAGATTTAGGAACACACTCAGGTATTCCAAAAACACTGCCATGTTTCAGGAGCCAGGTGTCCAAGAGTTCAGCTCAAAGCTGTTGCATATAGTATAGAACAAAATCATTTGAAGGTTTCCCAGAGCAACGGGTCCTATTCAACACATTAGTTTCAGTCACAAGATTTTCATTAAACTCACTCATGTTTAGGATTGCAGTCTTTCAACTCTTATGCCAAGACATCAGAAAACTAAAGCTTCTTTTCTGTGGTGTTTGTTCATTTTTGTATTTCACGTAATCTCTAATTTTAATATTACACAAGGTAAGTTTGTCAGACCTCAGTAAAGAATTGGAATCAAATGTCACTTTTTTCCAGTAAAGAATTGGAATCAAATGTCACTTTTTTCCAGTCTCTGCAGTTCCTTTTTGAAACAAATCCTTATGTCAAACAAAGCTGCATATCACTGGAGAGGGCAGGCAAGTCGGGCCTTAGAGTACTTTTAGGTAGGTCTCATTCCACTCTCCAGCTATTCATCCCTTAGCCTGGGAGGTGACTATTCCAGCTACATTTAGCAGCCTACTGCCTTCAGTGGATTTCAAAGCAACCTTTTCTGTACAGGAGACTGTAACCCAGGATAGAGGGCTGATTTTTCAACACTGCTAAAATTTCAAGCCATTAAGTGATCAGCTACAACTTGCTCTGACTTTAGTGCATGTCCTTCATTTCCAGCACTTTCATTGTAGCTAACAGACATTTGGAACAGTCTTTTTACCTGGAGTAGCTCTTTCCCTCACCTGTTATGCACTGTGCTGGCAAGCAGCAGCTGATGTCAGAGATTTACTGCAGCATTAATGTTTCTTTGCATAAGGTTTCCTTCTCTTCCTTTTCTCTGCTAAATGGAACAGAGATGAGTCAAGACTTGTGACTGAGATAGGCAAAAACTAAATACTCAGCAGGAAAGGCTCTGCCAAGGTTTCCAGCACCTGAGCTGGTTTCCTCCTATGCTCATCCACAGGATAGACCTATTCCTGGTACCACCCCGGTCCCTTGGACTACGCCACATAGCTGGATCCCCCTCTCCAGCCTCCCTGCAGTGCTATGCACTCACCACGGGAAAGGCAGTGCTGGTGCAGGGTCTTCATTTGGCCCAGGTGATGGTCCAGAGCTTCAGCTTGTCCCCTTTGCTGTGGGGCCTGGCTGTTGTACACCCACCAATCTGTAGAGGATAGAGAAGCAAGACCCCCAGCAGGGTGGGGAGAGGCTTAATAGACTCTGTTTCCACAGAAAACAGGTGTATAGAGGAAAGGAGTGGAGCAAAGTTTGAGAACTGTTGGAAGAACTTCTCGAAACTGAGGTTTACTATTGTACTTCTGTGAAAGAAATACCAGGAAAAAGCCCTTACTTCTCCTTTCCTTCCCTTCCCACAGCAACTGCCATGCTTCAAACTCCAACATTTGTCAGTTCTAGCAGCCAATTTAGGATGTGCTACCCTTTGTCACAGAAGAATTCCAGAATTCTGATACTGCTTTTACCCTTTTAAATCACTGTGAAGTTACATCTTTATCGATAGATTTCTGAGGCCGGGATATACCACTAATCATGAGATTCAAGATTAGAATCATTAAATTCAAGACTAGTACATTTTTACTGAGACAGTTTGGCACTTTACTAGTCTGAAGCCTGATGCTCTATTAGTGATTTGAGTTTGACTAAAGGATATCTCAAGAATATTTTCTGACGTAACCAGAATTGCTCAACAATGGAAAATGTCATACTTTTGCAACACGTTCAGTATCACCCAGATCCATATTTTGATGTTTAAGACAGAGGGACAAACACACACACACACACACACACAATCAGCAGTTCTGTGTAAAAACAATATCTAGAGAGGAAATCAAAAAATCCTGTGATTACTCTGCAGTGAGTCATGGCCTTCTCCTTAAGAAGACCCATGTGCCTTCACAGGGCTCTGTTGACTCCAGGCACTCTGTCCAGATTAAGATTTATACCTGGATCTATCTAGGCCTAATTTAAATTCACTTGTATTCTTACAAACTTAATTCTTACTGAAACTTGATAAGAAAGTTAGATATTCACCCTGATCAAGCACAAGAAATTTCAGACCAAACCCACCTTCCACATGATGCTTAGGGCAATACTTTAATTAACTTCAGGAAGCAGTGTAATTAAAGATAAATCCAAAATGTCATATAGTATAGAACAGCAAGAAAATCAACCACATATTTCCTTTTTTATACTTAATTAGAATTGTGAGTGCACTTCACAAGAACTCAAACCACTGTTCGCTATCATGACCTTTTGGTTACAAGGAACACCTTTAACTTAAGTCTTTTTAACAAAGTAGTCACTCCCAGAACAACACAGCTTTTCTTGCAAACATCCCTGCCTTCCTACAGGTCCATATGTACTTTGGGTATTTCCAGTCAAAACAATACACCTGTTCACAGTGTAAAGGTAAGGCTGAGAATAATAATTTATAAGATACAGCAAAATTCCTGGCAACTCTTGTAACGTTTCTCAAATCATGATCATTAAATGTGATTACAGTTTGGATTCCAGGGAATCTTCTTTCCAAGGTTGTCATGGCCTTCCTAAGACCTCACAGACTCTCTCTGTCACTCAGCATCACTTTCAGCAAAATCCAAGTTGTTTTGCAATACTGTAATGGTGCAGGAGACAGCTAATTATTACTTAGTGAACACCACTAAAAAGCAAAGACTTTTAGGTTAACAGTAGCTGATGTGGCAACAAAAATCAGGATTCTGCCTTATTTAGTCTTTGTTTACACCTCCCAGCATCTGTGATAATGTTTGATCTGTATTTTGTCAGATACTGGTATTCCCCAAATCATTCACCAGGACTATGAAGGTTTTCTAGTCAGTTCAATGTTGGTTCTCTTATTATGTGTTTCCTGGAGTCACATTTGAGCTGGATAGTGGGAGAGGATTCGCTTCCCACACTCAGTACTGCCAACTGGCACAGTTTTATCATGAGTGTAATGGCATTTAATGCTTTCTCCTGTAGCCCCAGCTCCTGGAGCAATGGGACTTCGTGAGATCAGCTTCATACTTTTCTTTTTTTTTTAATGACAGGAGAGGAGCACTTGAGTTAGTGCTTTTTTGTCTTTTCATATGGTCCTCCACAGGCACTAAGACAACAACATGGTATCTAAATGAAAGCTGAGACTTGCAGATGATAAATGGCTGTGGGAACTAGGCTTCAAGATAAACAACCAATATAGTGAGATCCATGCTGAACCTGAAGCCTTGGCGATTCTGGCTGTGCAGCATTTTGTAATATTTATTATCCTCCGAGACAGAGTTTCAGTGTTTCTTCCAATAAAATCAAGTTAATAAATTGCATTTTTAATTTTCAACTGACCTTCTACACTCAAATTTTATTTTCATAGCCTAGTTACAGATAAGAAGCAGATCACATTATTATTTCTGCTGTCCAGGGAATGAAAAATCATATTTCATAGCATTTTTCTATGTTTCAATATTTCTTTTGGGTCAACCCCAAAACCGTTTAGAAAGTTTTTTTCCTAAACATTTAAATTTATTCTAATAACCTTTTTTTTTCTTCTAGAGGGTAAAGATCCCATAACTGGTAGACCATTTTCATAGTGAGAGACAGAAGTTCAAATCCATTCCCTGCCAGATTCATAACAGAGATTCTCAGACCCTTTCTGCAGCAGGGACATAGACCACTAGATTCACTGTCTTTCTTTCACTCTCCCACCTTATAGACAAATAAAATTTTATTCATGTTCCTTTAGGGCAACATTTTCAGTGAAACAGATGTAGAAGGATATAGATATAAGTATTGGTTTGGGGAAATAAATTCAGATCTTCCTGAACCTTTTTTTCCTGAGAGCTTTGTTACACTTTCAATTTTTAGTGGTTTATAGCATAGGTTTGGGGTTTTTTTTTAAATAAATACAGCATATTGTAAAATCAGTTATAAATCCACAGAACGTAGCCTTCAAACCTTTATGTTCTCTAACTGAAGACTATTTAGATATTTTTTCAGAGTGCACTTGGCTGTGACCCATTAATACAGGACTCAAATGAGCCACTGAAAAAACACATTGCAAGGTGGAGGTTTCTTTGCTGTAGCTGTCCTGGGGCTCCCTCTTAGCAGCTTGTTTCATAGTCAGTAGGGTTAATGTCAAACAGATCTCAAGGAGGCACAGGCATTAACCAAAATCTGGAAGAGCACTTGGTATAGCTATTCTACCCACTCCAGTCCTTCAGCAATTGCTGAGTTACACTTCCAAAACTAGAACAAACATTAAGTGGTGCTTTTCCTGCTACACTGTTTTGTGTAGCTTCTTACTCTTCCAAAACATCTTCTTTCCTAGTAAGATGTCCTAGACATGAAGGATCATTATCATGTTTAGCAAAAACTTGCTGTGTAAAACTGGAGGAATAAAGGACCTTAAAGCTGCTTGGATGAACGAACTTGCACTGACCTCTGATGGCTGTGAATGTGTATGAAACACAGTCCTGCAGTTATTTGTGCTTCCTTAGGAGCACCAGTGCTCTAATTAAAGTGATGTTAACATGATAAGACAAAACCTCTTTTGAGATGGAAACCAAAGAACTTATAAAGGAGTCCTGGTATTATTTTTGCTTTGCATCACCATTCTCTTTGGCAAGCACGGTGAAAATGTGTTCACAATAGAAGTTATTTTTGATGGAATGCCTGTCTTTCTGTATTCCAGCTGTTTGGAAATTTCCCAAGAGGGTTTTCTTAAAACACCTGTCCACCTTATTTCTTCTTTATAAATGATTTTATAGGGTGGAAAACGCATGAAGCATGAAAAAACTACTGTCACAATTTTCACGGCTGCTGAATTCACAATACATTACAGAAGACTCAGTTCCAAGGCTGCTAAGTTGGGAGAAGCACATGAACTTAAATCACTGCCAGTATGGTAGAAACTGTCTTGTGATCTTTGGAATGGGCTTGCTTGGGCCACTGAAAAGTTTTTGAGTCGGGGGAGAAGCCAACTCGACGGTTTGTCCCTGAGGCAAGCTCTGAGAATCTCTAGAGCTTTTAGCCACTAGTCTCAGAGCAGCAACTTCCAGCCTCATATATGGAACTATCACTCAATGAATACACCAAGCACGAGGGAAGCCCTTTGTGATAATATCTTATCACTTCTGCCTGTGTTACCTTGAATAGCCAGACAGGTTCATGCAAGTGTAGTAGGGGAAGTGATCTGAACTCTTCTACTGGTGGCATCAAGAACTTGTTAGAGTGCTCAGAGCCAACACTGAACCACTTGAAGCATCATACTTGAATATTGACCTGTGACCAGGTCACTTCTTTGCCACATCTCAGCTCCACATTCAATTCCCCAGTACACACTCCCTACATCACAGAAGAAAACGGGAGCCCTCTCACTTTCTCATGTTGGGTTAAATGTGGATGTTAAGTGAACATTTCCTCCTGCCAGTTGGGTTTTCATAGAAGATACACCAGTAATATTTAAAATTAAAAGAGGAATAAAACGCAACTCTTGAAAATTCTTAGGTCTTAAAATTGAGACTGAAATAATTCAGTTTGAAAGAAAGATTGTCATTTGTTTTGGTGGGCTCTGAATCAGGTTCTTGGAGCTCAGAAGCACAGATGGGAACATGAAACTAGCTACAGAATTTCCATCTTGTTGCATGGCCTGACTTTTCATCATTTTATTTTGTCCTACTTTGGGGAAAAATTCATAATCTTGAAATACTGAAATGTCTTTGATAATTTAACATTAAAACTGAAAATATAGCATAATAGTCTGTCAAAATAAAAGGAAATGAAAAAGACAATGTGAAAATGCAAGCAAAATCAATTCATGGATTTTTTTTTTAATTGAAACATTTGCAAACATATCTGTCAACAGTATAGTTGGGATGGAAATAGTCCTGCAAGAAATTATTTTGATGAAACTACATTTTTCCAAAGTAAATGTAAAGGTAGCAGTCTTGGCACAGCAACCCTGACTGCCAAAGACATTTCCAAAAAGCCTTTCCTGAATTACAGAGGTTCAGTTCTTCTGAAAGGAGGGGGTAAGGAGGGTTTTATGCCAACTTCTTGTTGATAACACAGGGCCATTAAGGGATATTTCAGTGTTTGGTTTAAATTAGAGGAGCCTCATTGCTGCACTGTATATGAAGCCAAGGGAGTTTAAAGGTTGAACTTGCCAGACAGGATCTGAACCCTTCTGAAAAGCCTTTGCAATCACAGCTGTCTGGAACCTGATACTGAACAAAGCACTTGTACTCAAAAGCACCTTCAGCTTAAAGTGGTCATTGAGGAAAAAACCAAACAACCAACCATTGAGGAAAAACTCCCAGCAAAGTCACAGTATCCCCTCTACACCCATTTCCACAAAACCTTTGGTCAAGGCTTTTTATGCTGCCAGGGAAGTGGGCTTTGTCAAAATTAAGAGATGTATCAGAGACTCTCAGAGCACAATGTAATGTCACTAGTTGTGACCTTCAAATACAAGCAGGTGTGATTCTATGTAAGTGAGATTAGACTAAAGTGGCCATGAAAGGTCGTGCTTTTATCTTACACTACTTACATTTTTGAGAGGCGGGTCATATGATGAGCTATAAAATGAGTGAGAGTCCAGCACAGCACTTGGGGAAGTCTAAAACTGACAGGAGAGGTACTCATTTGCAGGTGAAGAAGTAGAACACTGTGACACAAGACACAATTCCTTTTGCCAGAGAATGGTTGAAAAGTTGTGCCCTGGTGGCACCTGCAGACCTGCTGCTGCACAGACAGTGCAGAAAGCCTTGAACTATAGCCTGCTCTCACAGAGACACTAGACAACATCCAAAAATATACCCACTGAATTTCTTACTTGGCTTGGATTGTGCCAGTTGGATGGTGGGTTAATGTTCAGTGTTGTGATTTAAGACTAGAAAGTCAAGTGTATATCTTCAATTACTGGAGTGTCCTTAAACTGAGAGTGATTTGTAGAATTAAAAAAAGATTACTAAACATTATTGGGTCAAGTAATTGCTTGATCAAATGACTTTTACAGCAAACCGTACAGAACGTACAATTCACAGTTCATTTTCTGGGATAATCACATAATAAGCAGGAAAATTGGCCAATTTATCAAAAACTATTATTATTTTGTTTGATTAGGCTTGAGAGCATTATGCTAAATACAGCTTCTACTCACTTGAATTTTGGTTTCTGAACTGCCACTGGTAGCACAGGTGAATGCTATTGCAAGAGTGGCTTTGAGCAAAACCATACCTAAAACTCTTTGAATTAAGAGGATAAATTTTGTTTTACTTAAAGGGAGGAAGTAAAACTAAATTGACACCTAGTGGAAGATTTTACAGACTGCTGAGGCAGTAACCCTCCAATCTATATTGGAAAGGACTGGACACTTGCCAGCTTCTTTAATCTCTTTAGTAAATAGAGAAATCTTGCTGGTAATATATTTTCTAGAAATATATGAGTATTTGAGCTGAAATATTTCATGAGCTTTTTTGACCTTAAAGCTATGACCAGCCTTTGTAACATTATAAAGTGAGACTATATGCTAGAAAGTACCTAAAATGACCCAGTATAACCTCTTTAATAGTATAGTCAGGAAATACTGGGCGCAGTGGGAATGAAAGAAATTTTTTTTTTAATTTTTTTTACATTGATATACAGACTTTTTGCTATTGTACAGTGAAAAGAAGAAGTTAAGTGGCACAGCAATAGGGTCAGAATCCTGACCTATTAATTCACGTTTAACAGAGAAAAGAACCAATTAAATAAGAATTGTGGGAAATGGAGTTTGCCAGTTTAAGTGCAGAGAAGTCACAAAATCTCAGGCTGCCACTCTGAGGTGGAAGCATAAATTGTGCAGAGATACCAAATATTGGTCATAAGTTAATTACATCTCCTTCAGTGGAGAGCAGGTGACAGTGGCACAGCTGGAAAAGCACTTTAGAAGTAGCTAAATCTGAGCAGGTACATCTGGGAAGGAGAGCAGAAAAATGCCACACAAGTGAATCAAATTGAAATATGTAATGGAGTAAAAACCAGGAGAGAAAGGAACATTGCTTGCCTATGGGAAGGGACAAACTACTTCCCAGATAGGAATTTTACCATCAGCATTGTGATCTCCATATCAGCAGAGCTTTGGAATGCTGCAGTTAAAAAAAATAATTCATTGCTCAGGACACCCTGAGATTACCTGGGGTAATTAGCACACAGAAGGCTGTTCAAGTATTTTAAAAAAAAAATAATTAAAAAGACAAAATGAAAAAAAAGAAAATAAGACAGCAATGTCAGAGTACTTCAGTGTCACTGTGAGATAAGCCAACCTTAGGCACATGTACAGCACCGATCTTGTAAACTAAAGTGTCTCGCCTTCACAATGTTTTACCTCAGGAAAACAAAGGTGTATTAGTTACCCTGAGGGAAAAAAAAAAAAAAGCTGCTCCAGCCCTGATGAAGACAAGTAGTCAGTTTAATTTATTGTAAGGTAAGCAGAAAGGCTGTGCCTCAATAAGAAGGCAGCATTGGCCTCACAGACTTAGCCAGAGGCAAGCACCTGAAGTGTCACCTTCCCCTTCGTATTTGTAGTGACACAATCCACATTTGTTAGCTTGCTCTAACAAGCTCATCTGTCTTGAGCAACAAAGGCAAAACCTTCTATCTTAGTTTTGAGGTCAAAGGCAAAGCTTAGAGAAGGTTATTAACAGAATCAAACAGATTCGGAATTACTGGGAAACTGTTCTGTTCTATTTAAAAAATTGGTTTGTTTTTGTTTCCAAATTTTTAAGGGTTTTTCTTTTGCTTTCAGTAACATAATGCACCTATCATCATCTTTTGTTGAAGCTGCTACTTTTTCCTTGCCTTCAACACACACCAATACACCAATTCCCATATCCCACTCCAGATTTCTTCTGAAAATGAAGTTTTTTATACAGGATAAAAGTTGTACCTTCCTCTGACATTAAGGATCAGACACTTCTTCCCCAGGAGCTTCTGGAAGTGAACACCCCCAAGGAGTAACAGTCAGCAATTTCAAAACCAGGTCATTTAAATTAAAGGGAAAAATCCAGACTTTATAGATTAAAATGGAGGCAAAGCCATAAAATTCATATTAAACATAACATAAAATCAGGACCAGTCTAGACCTTTTTTGTTACAATTTGCTGATGAAGCAAGAGTGAAACCTTACCTAGGAGAAAGGCCAGTTTCTCAAAACTAGCACACAATCTGTCAGGCTTCTCCTCTGAAACTGTGCAACCGTTTTCTCCCATCCTTTCAGGGGCTCTGTGTTCAGGTAAGAGGACTCTTTATTAGCAAGTGGGATATCAGGATTACTCCTACTCTAATAGTTGCATACACAGAGACTGGAATGCTTTTCCAACTGAATTGTTCTCTGAGTTTGAACTGAGACCACTGGATTTACCTCCTGTACACATTTGAGAACATTTTTGTGCATTAAGGGTATATGGTCATATCAAAGAGTAATTCTGATCCTCTGCTAGTGGCTAGAGAATTTATAATTAATAAATTCTCCCTATACAATTTGAAAACTCTCAGTAAGTTACAACCTGAGTGGAAGGCATTCAGCTCACAGTAGGATCTGTAGGGGTGGTAATAAACTGGTCTTCCAACTCTATCAGTTCAGAATTAGCTGAACCTCATTTAAAACAGAATATTAATCTATTGATAATAAAATGTGGGATAAATGCATCACAACCACAGGCTGTCAAAATCTAAGCCAAATTATGGGAGGGGGACGTGGGGGGTGGGAAACAGCACAGGAACTGGCAATATGAGACATGACTATCACATGGAATGAAGTGGTCAAATCCTTGGTGTTTGCAAACAACTTGCATATCTCCACCAAAGCAATCACAGTGGATGCCTGCCACAAAATGCAGCAAACAAATCATTAGTGCAGTTCAACCAGGATAGCCTTCTGCTCCATTATTTAGCATAACCAGTTATTTGGGTACCCTTCTTTTAGTTCAGACCCCCTTGCCCCTCTGCCTTTACCTTTGACAACCACTGATTGTTTTCCGTTCTTGTGACTTCACTGACCTGCAAAAGAACATGTGAAAGAACTTAAATGCAGAGAAAAAAACAAAATTAATTTACACTCATTTAAAATTACATTAGAATTAACAAGTGACCTTTCATTTCACTCTAATTTTTAACTGAAATTCAATCTATCTGTACTCAGAGGAACATATAAGGCGTGATTTTCAACACTGGCTCCATTTTTTTTCTAGCTTTAAATGGAATTAGCCTCATCAGGGACAAAAAAAACCCAACAAAACAAAGCAAGCTAGGGACCTCTCAAAAATTGCACAGTTTGTGCCAGATAAGAACACTGATAAAATTTCCATTGAAATTGCTGTGGTTTGGAGCTTAATCCTCAGCACCAGCATGTAACTGTACTGGCCAGTGAGGGCTGCAATATGTGAGAGGCTCACAAAATCCCTGCCCAAACACACAGCACCATGGTACCATATCAAGTGCTCTCCTTTGTGTTATTGTCACCTGCAAGAGAGATAACATGTGCTCAAGCATTACTCTGAAGACTGTGGTACGAGGGAGAGCCAGTATATCCACTATCTTGTCTCTAATAAAAAGATCTGGAGGCAGACAGCAGGGTGAAGTTACCTCCTTTGTGTTGGGGATTAAACCTATCTAAATGGTCCCAGATCTAGGAGAGGTACAAAATCAGTTCAAAATAGAAGCCTGGGAGAGTATCTGAGATGGGAAAGAAGATATGCTGGCTCAGACCCTCAGCATGAATGGCAATGATACATGATGATAGTCTTGTTTAGCTGGATCAGGAGACCTGGGCAACCAAAGACCCAATTATTAATTGAATTACTCAATGATCTGTATGATGAAAAACATCTTAACAATAGTCCACAATCTACCAAATATAAAGATCCAAACTATCTAATTCAAACCTTACACTCACTCCAAGTATTTAAAGATGAATGATTGTGATCTTCACTCATATGTTCTTTACAATGCAGACCTGAAGGTGTCACACAAGTCCAGGGACAAGCAAGTCCCCTGTACTGCACTGTCACAACATGTTGAGATCAGCTGCACATTTGCTCTCCCCAACCAGAGGATCAGTGCTGAACCCACCACCTTTGATGGTAGCTGGCCACAGTGTTCTGCAGCACAGAATTGTTACTTGGGAAAAGACGCAGAAACCCACTGTACACCCAGGAACCTGCTGATGACAAAGCCTTGCCTGAATCCCAGATGTCTGCACCACTCCCAGGACCCATTTTCACATGCATACATTTACTTCTTAGTGGACTTAAGCTCAGCCTGAATTTAAACTGTCCACAAGCACCATCTGCCCTCACCAAGAGCACAGTACTTGTTCCTGTCCGGGGTTCCAGCAGCCCACCCTGGGACCTGGAAACAAGCAGGTTGCTGCACAAGCCAACAGATGGCTGTCTTGCATTTCTTTCCATTGACAATCATATTTGCTACAGAGAAACAACTGTTCTCTTGAATCTATTTCCCATCAGGATTCTACACGATTTTGCAAAAAGAAAGAATAAGAAATTATCTAAACTGTTCCACCTTGAATATGGAGAAAATTTTAACTATGACACGAGTGCTGCACTGTTTAAATACGTGACTGCTGTACTAAATATTCATTTTTTTTTCTCATTAGGCCTCATTAATTTCTATACCAGATTTTTTCTGCTTTTATTTAAACCTTTTCAGTCTATGTACATTCAGCAGAATTAAAACAATAAATGCACATGGATATAATTATCATGCAGCATAACTACACAAGAGTACCTGGTCCACACTACTCAGGAAATCAGAAAAATGACCCTTTAGAATCTCTAAGTCAGTAGTTACTTATACACCCTAAGCAGACTTGGCTGAATACTACAAAAAAATACTGAATAATTTTGTCATAAGCACTGTCAGCTCATTCAGTTGTTATTTGTGGCTTATTATTAACAACCGCATATGTGTATCTGCATGACAAACGTTTTTAGCCCTGAAGATGTTTATGAATCCTAAATACTTCACAAATAGTCAGTGAATAATTATCCATGCTGGAAAGTAATATTGCAAGTCATTATGGGTTAGATCTTTTCAGTGATTTTCTCATTTTAACAGACTAAATTTTCTAACCATAGTGTAGAAACAGAGGACTTGCTTAAGCAGACAAATCAAATGCCTAAAAAGAAATAACAGATTCTGAAAGAACTAGTAGCAGGAGATAGTTCCTAAAAAAAAAAAAAACAAAGCCTTTTTAATAATTGCTTTTTTTTTTTAAGTGAAAAGAGTTAGTAGAATTTTTGAGCAATTAACACATTCATAGAAAACCTGATCAGTTCAGAAATAGGAGAAAAGGAAAAAAAGATTAATCAGTTCCATAGCTCATCAAGAATAATTTTGAACACTTCTAGTCCTTAACAGACTTAAAGATTTACAATTAATCACCATTGTCAGAGTGAAATCCCCTCTATTCTTTAAGATTTAAAATAAATTAGACTTCATTCTGGACAAATTCATTGTTCAAAAGACATAATAAGCACCACTTGAAAGAGGGTATAGTTCAGATTAGCAGATAAAAGAGCTAAAGCTACAGATGTTTGCATGGATACCAATTTTAACTCAATTTTGTCTCTATTCACTTCTGTGTTTGGCATTCCCCAGAGGACATGCATGTCAGATATATACCAGCAAATATTCCTGTAGTGGTCACTTGAAAACGAGTAATTTCTTTTCTACCATCCTCTGTCCACAGAAAACTTTGTGGAAGAATCCCCCTTTTTAAATGCTTTAGCCAAAAGCAATAATATTTTGGATTTGTGACACATTCTTGAAACTTCATGGAATTTGCACTCCTTTATATGCAGGAGTCAGAAAAAGGCTGGTTTCTCCTCTTACGAAATATAGGAAATGCAATATGAAATGTAGACTTTAGGACTCTCTTCCAGGAAGAGAAATAAGGACAGAAGACAGTAGGATAGTATTTTGTCATTAAAATGCTTATAGTTTTGTTGCCCAGATTATTTGACCAAACCTGAAATCCAGTTAGGGGTTGTAATTCCATTTACACAAATTTATTCTTTTTCAGAAAGCAGACTGCCTAGATTAAAACTCTTTTTTAAATAAGCATTTCTGTTGGAAAAGACCACAAACAATCCACACAGAAAAACATTTTAAAATTCACTATTCTAGAATGAAACCTAGAATCCTGATAAAAATACTTATGGCTCAGCCATTAACAGAACAGAAATGCTATCACATGACTGACATGCCAAATAAATTATTGCCTCCTCTGAACAGATGTCAAAAAGAATTTATAGCTCAAAGTTACTCAGGTAATCATCCTAAACAAATATGCTTGGAAAAACACCGCTGCTAATTTCACAAGAGAAAGGAAAAATAAAACTTATCAAGTGTAATTTCTGCTGCTACTTACCTTAACACAGCAATCCTCTGTACGCAGCTGCTCACAAACCCGTGCTACCAGATGAAAGAGAGTGATGGTGATTAAGAGATATGCAAAAGGTTTCTTTTCTGTGATAACAGAAAAAATAAAATATCTACAGTTGCTTACTCTGGGGAGAGTTCACATGGTATCAAACCCTCATCTTGCATGGAACCTTTCACCAGAGTCCAATCTCCCCAAGTTGCTGAAGATTATGAAGATGGTGATCGGTACATTCACATGCTGGTGAACAGGAACAGGCAGAAGACCAGGGACACGACACTGATTACAGTCGTGATATTCCTGAGGTCCTTTTTGTTCCATCCACCCTGACACTTCAACCTGCAACAACGTTTGGAAACTGGAGAGTGAATAAGGAACTCTCATTTCTTCTGCAAATAAAGACAATCTTGCCTTCATTGTGATGCCTGGGTGTATTTTTTGAAAGCATATACTGCACAGCAGGTTTTTAATCTGGAACAATCAATGGGCAAAATTTTTTGTGTAGCACTAGAAAAAAATCCCGGTGGCCAGGTTTTTACTGGAAAACTATGTAGCCCACATATGATAGCAGAATATATTAAAAGGCAGTATATTTGTGAAGTGAAACAACAACAGGTAAACTGTTTCTGGTCCAGTAGTTGACACAGCTCACAGTCTGAGGGCAAGTTTTATAGTTTACGTAAGTCCTTGCACTATGGGGACTCACCAAACAAATACCACCACAGTCTCAGCAGAGAACCAATCTCCTTTCAGACTCTCAGCAACTCTTCAAATCTGTGGTCTCACTATCTTGCATACAGCAGGTCTCCTTCTTGTAGGACTTTATTTATTTGAAGAGATGACTGTATTCCATTGCCAAGATGCTGGGAATTGTCCAGACTGCTGAGTTCTGCTGAAGCTGTGTGAGCTCTTCACAGACACTCATCTCCATATGTGGCTGATATAGTGATGGACAGTCTCTCCTCAGGAGCAGGCTGTCACCCACAGAGGAACCATCACAGCCAGAGCTCCTTAACATATGCCAAGGTTACATTCACATCTACATGAAACTTAAAATCCCTACCAGCAAAAATAACTTGTGGCATTGGCTGTGGACAAGAATGACATTCTGCAAGTCTTCCCTGTAAGTGCACTGGAGAGGGCACTGTAGAGAGGGACACTATGGAGTGTTGCCAGGACTCCTATCAATACAAGTACTCGTTCATTCCAGTGTTGATGGACATTATCAACAGCTCCTTATAAGCAGGCTGCATTTCATATTTACAGCTAATGCATTCATAATGGAGCTATCAAACCTTTTCTTGTTACTTTAATCTGCTTTCAGATTTAACTAAAACTTGGGATTCTGCCCTGCAGTCTCCACCCCTTCTTTTATCAAATTCCCTGCTGCTTCAGAATATTTTACTTTTTATGTTTCTGAGTTGAAGCTTGTGAGGTCTGCTGATCTGGCAATTGAACAGACCAGAACTGGACTTCTAGATATGGACAGGACATCTCATGCTATTGCAAAGTCTTTAAGACAGTGCTCCTCACACCTTTAGTGTCAAGCTCTTGAGTTTCTGCAGTTGCTCACAGTCATGCCCAAGAATTAGGCATTAGGAAAATTCCTATCAGAAAATGTTTAGAGTTTCTGATGTAGGAGATGATGCTCAGACTGCAGTCCTTGACCTCCTTGTCAGGATGTAGCATCTTCAGCAGCCCACTGTCACTGGAGCTGACTTAAAAGGCACAAGAGGGGCAACTGGGCTTTGCCCTCATTTCTGCAGTTATTCTTTATGTTCATTTTAGGAGTGTTGATAACATTAGGTTGCTATGAACAGACTTTTTTCTACATGAGCTTATGCTTGGCTATTTCAGATTCACTGGCAAACCATAGGAATCCCATTCCTAGATACAGTGTCTTCTTGGAAGATTGGTGCCCACAATCCAACTGGTCTTCAGAAATACCTAAATGGTTACATTAATATTTGTCTTTTGTTACTATAATGCACTTAATAACAGCATATGTCTTTTAAAAATATTATAATCTTTCTCCATCCAGCCACTTACTGGAAAATTCATGAATTAACATTCTCAGTTTTCTGACTGAGACAGGTCCTTAAATCTACGAGGTATGGTTCATATTCAGCCTAAGAACAGTAAGAGTCAAAATTATCCCCACAGAAGCATTGCTCATACTAAATGAACTTGCTGAAATAAAATAAAAAAATGTTTCCAGAAGGTAGAAATGCCACAGTCCTCATCACAACTGGTATCCTTTAATCCCTTTTAGAAGAGATCTGATTAAAATTAAATCTAGAGATATCCCCAGCTAGAAGCTGAGACACATAGCTGGAGAAGCTTACTCACTAAATCAATATTAAATCAGCAGTTTCTTGTCTTGTAATGGTTGACTGTGGACTCTACTTATTCTAAAATCAGTGATAAAGTACTTATTGACTATGATGGAGCAGAACTGACTGGACTATGGTGCTGCCCTTTAGGAAATACCAATCATAGGTAATAATACAACAAGGAACTAGAACAAAGAAGATCTAGATTCATCTCATAGCTCTTCCCTGTGAGTGAAACAAAAAGCCACGTCATTCCTCTGTACCAGAGCTGCCAGATCAAAACCAGAGCAAAGAAATTTTCCATTCCTTCATTTCTTGTCTTAGTCTAATAGGGAGAGAGAATATTGATCCCCATCTCTTGCTATCCTGAACATAATACTTGTAGCAACATAGAATCGTAGAATGGTTTGGGTTGGAAGGGACCTCAAAGTTCATCTAGTTCCAACCTCCCTGCCATAAGGCAGGGACACCTTCCACTAGACCAGGTTGGTCCAAGCCCCATCCAGCCTGGTCTTCAACACTTCCAGGGATGGGGCAGCCACAACTTCTCTGGGCAACCTGTGCCAGTGCCTCACCACCCTCACAGTAAAGAATTTCTTCCTTATATCTAACCTAAATTTCCCTTCTTTAAGTCTGAAGCCATTACTCTGCATCCTATCACTACAGCTCCTGGTGGAGTCCCTCTACGCAGCTCCCTTGTAGGGCCCCTTCAGATACTGGAAGGCTGCTCTGAGGTGTCCACACAATCTTCTTTTCTCCAGGCCGAACAGCCCCAAATTTCTCAGCCTGTCAACAGCATAATCATGAAATGCTCTTGTATGCACTGAACCCTGTGGGCACAAGCCTAAAACTGCTGAGACTGGTACCAAGAGCTGTTTGAGCTCACGCTCACCTACTGGACATGTGGCTCTGGGAGCCACCTTCTCCTGTGCAGCTGCACAGAAAGCCCTAATTTAAACACCTATAAAGCAGAAGCAGCTGAGGTAAAACTTTGAACACACCAATGTAGTTTTCCAAGAAACGAGCTCCGGTATCTCCTCTCTGTGCTGCAGCACTGATGTTTCCTTTGCCACAGACAGGACATCACTCATCTCTCTCTCCCCAAGTACAGATGTCTTACAAGTCAATTCTGTGGTTAATGCAGGCTGACAAAAGGAGGTTTATATACTGTGCAACAATACCCACTGTCGCTCACTGGAGCAGAAGATACTTCAAGGGCAGCCTTCTCCTCTGTGACACAACTACTGCTTCCCAAACAGCGCAGATGACTTGCAGCAGTAACGCTGCTTTCTGCTCCGAGTCCCCCAGGTACACTGTTAACTCCCCTCTTGTGGCAGATGTGCAGGTTAATCGGTATCTCAGCCTGCAGTGGTCCAGCTAATTTAAACACACACTCTGTGGAGAGTAGAGAGCCTGAAGGAAGTGGGAGGGGAAAGCTGGTGGGCTTTGAAGGAAGAACAGCCTGCTAATTTCTGCAAAAACTGAGCAAGAGACAGATAAAACTAAATTAGTGATCTATTAAACATAAATTAATGACATCTGCAAATGAAACGATATCTAAAATAATCACTCTAATAGCAGGATCTCTGGTGAGCATTAATGCTTAATTTTTTCTTGTATTTGATGAAGGCATCTATTAATTAAAAATATTTATACAAGGTAGAGGCTTGACAAGAATACTCTGTGCAGCTGTTCTTAAGGGAGCTGCTTCTGTTAATCAGCTATTTCAGAAGAAAATACCTCTACTCTATGCAAAGAAGGCAAGATTGTACTTCAATAAATCATATTTAAGGCCTGTGGTTTCTAAATATCCTCTGTGGCTAGAATTAGATGAAGTAGTCTGCTTTCTACAGATCATATAATACACTTTCCATTGTTTAGTTAGCTTGTACTGAAAAGAAACCTTCATCTTATCCTCCCCCTCTTTTACCCCCCTTTTATTGTTAACCTTTTATTGAATTGTTGAACATCCAATTACAAAAGCAGATGATATGATATGCATGAACGTATTGTACAAATGGGGAGGACAAAGCTAAACCACACATTCAATAGCAAGTATGAAAATATTATCAGACATTGAGGCAGAGACAAACCAAGACTGTGTGTCATTAATGAGACTATTCAAAGTAATTTTGATGGAGTTACAATTCTATTGTCATCTAGGACTGAGAAAGAATCACTTATCATTTGAAAAAAGAATTGTTAATCATTATGCAGCTCTCTGGGGCACTAACTCTTTCAGGATTTTGTTCTTTGTCTCCTGTGCCCTCCTTTTTTCCATTCTTCCCCCCCCCCCTCATCTTTTCACTGCTGTGAAAACAGAGAGGATTAGAAGTTGTCCTGACACATTTCATTGTAAGGTTGCTAGTTTTGTCTTTCAGCATTTATTAGTTTGAATTCTGTATGAGGCACCTGTTGGCTGATGAGAATAAATCAACAGGAAGGTCACAGATGGGTTTGTATTGTACTCTTGCCTTTTTAAGCCTGTTGAGAACTCACTACTTTGCTATGCAGGAATAAATGCTGGAGAGAAGGCCAACCACACTGTTGAACAGTATTTCATTGTGTGAACTGTGTAGGTTCCTTGAACAGAAGTTAAGATTAAAATCCTGTTGCTAATATTGTCACAATTAACTCAGGCCAGTGAGGGCAGGAGTCTCAGTTCATGACACCAGTTAAGTAAGTCACAGTTAAACTGCTCTACCACAGCTCTTGGGATGTTGCATGAGAAGAAATGAGCACTGCAAAAAGGCACTTGGAGAAATAAAAAGGGAAGGTGATGTATGGATGCAGCTTTCTGAAAGCTCTGATAAAAAGGCTTGCCTGTGCAGTCCATCATGCTTGCTAAGTCAAGGATGGGTGGCATAAGAGCAAGTGATGAATGTGTTAAATTGCTTAAAAGTGGATAAGGGGAACAGCCTGGGACTCTGACAATGATTGCTTTTGCTTATGCTACTGCTATGATAAAACACTGTGGCCAGTCATGTGGGAACGACAGAGTAACTGCTGCAGGCCCCCCTCCCTTTTTAATCCAAGGGACAGAGCTGAAGTGAACTCTGGAGTAAGGAACATTTCTTTTAGAGAAAGGGAAATAAAATAAAATGCATTTTAACAAATGACTTGATATATATTATGGCTCATGAGAACGTCCAGTTCCCCATGCCCTTTACAGACTGCAGCAGGCTTTACAAGGAGATCTGTTCCCCAGCAACACTGCCCATTTCTTTCACTACAGTATATCCATAAGAACATGGCCTGAGGAATGGAATACAAAACCAATTCCCTCTTTTTGGATAGGGAGGGAAGGAGATGTAGCCCTCCAAAACTCAAAAGCCTTTCTCACCTGGCAGTCAGCTCCACAGGCAGCTCCACTGCCCCATCCCAAGAAGATGCACCATTCCCATGAAAGGAGAATTCAGCACTGATGAGGCCAGAAAGGGGGAGCAAGGGTCACTGTGCTCCATTCCGTCCCAAGCCTTGCTTATGCACTTTGATTGAACATGAGGACAGTCCTAGATACTTAGCTGAGTTCTGAATTGCCCAGAAAAAAAATATTCTTTCTCCTGTGTGACCCCCAGAATCCTGATTTTTTAAAATATTATATTTTCTCTATTATTAAAGATATACATTATGGATACATCCACAACATTTTACATCTGTGGCCAGTTATACCTCCTTTTTTTCCTTAGTAAAAGATACATTTACACATTCGGATTTGTATTGTTTTTAATCAGATTGGGTGTTTGATTAAATATTTCTTTTTCTCATACAATTTTTTTCACTGATCCCTACAGCTTGGAACACCAATGCCAAAGTCAAAGCATAGCCAGAACATCCTTTCATGTGCTAAGTGAAAGCATTAAGAGTTGGAAGTTAAATTCATTCATGGCAAAACTTCCACTGGCTTCAGTGAATGTTGGAGTTTTCCAGGTTATTTCAATATACGAAGAGACAAATGTTATAATGCAATCTACTGTAATTTTGTTCAACTTTAAGGAACATTCAAATGAGAAGTAATTATAAACAACAGGGAAAAAATTGCTCCATTTCTAACGAAGAAGAACAGTTTCGAGTGTTGGTAAATTAGGTTCCTTTTTCCATAAATACAGTGACTTTCCAATTCCAATTCCATTTCTGAATCCAGATTCAGATGCTGTATGTATTGGCATGGTAGAAATACATACTTTCAGCTTTAAGAAATTATTCCAGTAACAATCAAGTAAGAACTCTCAAACTTTTAGCATTTACCCATCATTAACGTACAGCATGAATTGGCCTCTTCCCCAGACACTTCATTCAACAATAAATTCTGATGACACCAACCCAATGAGCTGCAAAGCAGAATAGACAATAGAAAACCAAAAAGAATCATCAGTCTGTCTCTAAATGTTGGTGAACTGGCATTATTAATGTTTTTTTTTTCCAGTTCCATCCATGTGCACCATGCTGCACAAAACACGCAGTGCCAGCTCACCAGCTCACATAATTTGTCGTCTTTCTGACAAAGTTAATGGATCTATGTAAGTTTACCCCCCAGGTGAGAATGTGAGCCAACATTTAGACA